GATTTGAAATATAAATAAAATAATATATATATATATATATATATATATATATAAATTGAAGAATAATATTTACTTTACGAATATTTTTGTGGAATTAATTTAGATTCAAAACTTCTATTCTAATATGATATCGTTGTATAACTTAGATATTAATATTAGATTCAAAACTCTCGCATTGTCAAATACTTTCATCCCATTTGTTACAGTTTAAACATCTAGACAAATTTTAAATAAAATTTTACGAAATTTTGTGGTCCGGACAGGCAGACTTAGTGCGTCAAACGTACACAACTCTTAGCAGGAGTTTTAATTAAACAAAAATGTTAATGACATAATTTTGAATATTAAAATTTGTGGTAAAGATATAAAAGAAAGTAAAGTTGACTTGAGTGTTAATAAATTTGATTATATAAGGTTTTTGATAAGTATATGATATTATATACTGAGATTAGTGAAGGTGGAAATGAATAGGTGAAAATTGTAGTTAGAATTTTGACACGTTGTAGATAAGGGATGGACAGGCCTTCAATCGTTGTTGATAAGGAACCGAGAAAGGTGAGCGTGGAAAATAGGCCGCGTTGCATCTAATCAGTCACTGAAAGTGGCCGTACGACACAAGTTTATTCTCATCTTCACTTTTACACACCTTACTTAATAAACCACGTGAATCATGATACATCAACTTCAAAATTAATCAATCCTATCTAAATGTGTGCTCACTTCTTCCATTCAACAACATTAGAAAATTAATTCTTCAAATTTCATTCCCTAGATCATTTAGTCAAAACATGAAGCCACGTTAACAGATCCTTTATTCGTGTTTCAATTTTAAAAACATCTCTTTCTTCGACCCTTGTTTCTTTCCAATCTTATATATTTTAGTTATTACCTAAAAGCTTTTTATCAATGCTGTATACATTTCTTTTTAAGGGAAGTATGATATTCTCTTATCATATATTTATACACATATCTACATTAATAAAATATTATTTATTTTAAAATTTATAATTTATTTTTATCATCGTTAAAAAACTTTATATAAATAAAGTATGTGAGTATTTTATAAATTCTTATTTTTATTCTTATTTTAATGATATGTGACATTATTTGTATTATAAGTAGGGGTGATAGAAAAATTCATACTTGTAAGTATCTATGTGTAAAATTCACCATGAATAATAAATAAATAATTGTTTGTGGTAAAATTCGTTTATGAGTTCTTTTTACTTAAATTGACACAAAATTGTTTCAATTTAGGTATTTACAATTAAACTTTCTTAAGAATGGCGACAAAGACAAGAGAGAGCGACTAATAAGTACTTGTTTCCAGATTTTCATTAATGAATATTAAACAATAATTGTCATACATGTAAACACTGAAATAAATGGAATGAACGATACATATATTAGCAATGCAAATCATCGCTCACTTCGCATAATTGTCAGATTACAATACCATGATTTAGAAAATAGTATTATGAACTACAAACTACACTACGAAAATAGACGAAACTAAACTAATCCTATAAAAAGAAACATAAAATGGCCAAGAAATTGTTATACCCAGCAATTCCAGACACAGGAGCCATATGCGCAGGCGGTGAGTGCTTATAAGAGTGCAAGTATGATTTTTCCGACCTCTTACACGAGGTTGTTTCTACTATTTATAGAGATCATCGAAAGCGGTTAATTTTGTGTAAATTCGTCGTGGGTAGGGATGGCAATGGGGCCCCATGGGGGCGGGTAATAGTAAATTTGCCTCCGTCCCGCTGAATGAAAATTGGCTCTATACCCACCCCATATCCGCGCGAGTATCCATTAAGTGGGTATCCATGAATTTCTTGAATAGCCACGGATATCCATGGATATTTATAAAATTTTTAAGAAATTAAAAAAATTAATACAAATAATTTTAAGTTTATATTTTAATGTCATTGAAATATTAAAAATAAAAATTCAATGTTAATTTTGAACTTTTATTTAACGCTAATTTTGTTGAAATAATAATAAAAATTCAAGATAATCAATAACTTAAAATACATCAATCTCACAAATAAGTTAAAGTCTCATCACAAAGCTACAATAATTCAATCTCATAATTGCAAATGAAAGTAAATAATTTAAAATACATAAATCTTATTGGTCCAATCAAAACTAGAAAATTAATCAAATTACATCCAACATAATTCTATAACATGCTTAACACATGTCGGTAACTTCATCAACCTCATTTTTGTAAGAAAATAAGATGAGAGAGTGTAGCTTTAGGGTTATGTGGTACAAGGATAATTAGGATATTTAAGAAATAATATTAAACGGGTACTCGCGGGTATAGATATCATCATACCCGCCCCCGCCCCATTTATAAACGGGTAAAAAATTATCCGTCCCCATTATCCGCGGGTACCCAAATAGCCTATCCATTTATTATCCGTAGCGGGTTTTATCCACAGATACCCGCGGGTACGGGTATTTTTGTCATCCCTAGTCGTGGGCGCATAACCGCTGTCCACTACGTCCCTTACGTGGGCTAAGGATATAACTCCTCGTAACCGTTCGTCCCACGTTTTTTATTTCTTCGACCAAGTAACTACATTAGTGTAACTACTTAACTTGCTCAAAAACCTCCAGTAACTACCTCTTGCGTTTTTCGATTAACCCTCGAATAGGCTTGCTTACTTTTTCCTTATATTCTTTTTGGTAGATGCCTCCAATCCTTCTTCAACTTCGAGTGATTTCAAAAATATATTCTTCGAGTGATCCTAAAAATAGTATAATCAGATACTTATGGATAACGAGTACAAATACTTTTCTATCCATTTATAAATGAGACAAATTATTTAAATATTTATATTCTTATCTTACATTTTTTATATTCTAATTCATTAGTTTCAATTTTAAATATTAATATTAATTATTTATTTTTAATATTTCAATATAATTAACATCAAATACAAACTGAATTTTTTTTTTTAAAACATTACAAATATCCATACTTGTAAATATTTATAAAATTCACATATATTTGCTTAACAAATACCCATATGAATATAATATAAGGCAGTTACAGAACAAATTTTTTATCCAATAACATAGATACGAATATCCTTCTCTTCGCCTCCACAACACCCTATTATCACCCTAATTATAAGATCCTCTTGGTCACTTGTAGCATGCCTGCAACCTGTTTTCATATTCAATCTTTATCAAAAATGAAAGTCCTACATTAGTTAAACAGAGAAAAGTAAAGAGTATACGAGTGTTATATTGTCTTTAAGAGGGTCTAAACTTTTTTATACCAACTCTCACATTTATATTTAACTCATTAATAACTCTATACTCCTCGGTCTTCACATGGGGCATGTGCTATAAATTCAATATAGTATTAGAGCCCAATGCTTTCAAGCAAGAAAAAAAAAACTAACCAAAAAAAAAAAAGACCTGACCTTTGAGGTCTCTTGAGTATAATGCCCTCCAAAGTTATAATTGGGCCAGCAGAAAAAAAATAAAAATAAAAACCAACCTGAATGGACTCTAAGAAAGTGGTGTAAAATATGTCTCAAATTAACTGGGATGAAGAAAGAGAAAGAAGTATTTAAGTGCGAGTTATTGTGTTTAACAGAGTCTAGACTTTTCTGGACAATCTCTCACACTTCTATGCAACTCACTAATAACTCTCCGGTTACGTGGCTTACCATAGTCAAGGCTGGTGCCAAAGTCGGTTGCCTGGGGCTGGCTAAACCAATTCGAGGATATACGTGATAAGAAAGGACATGATTCGTGATGCAAGTTTGAGTAATTAATTATCTTATTCTTATGCAAACTGAGTCAATATTGTGATTACTTGTGAAGAGCAAAAGTGGTCTTTGAAAACCTCACTGTTCAAAGTAATGCATATTGGACTCTATGATTTCGTCCTATAACCAAAATATTACTGTTGAATATTACGTGCAGATGGAAACAATACTTGCAATAATCGTATAATGGAAGCAATAGAACAAAGAATCGTGAGCAGCGTACACAATGCAAGTGTGTTGGTATTTTTTCCTTTTTTTATGGCAATGCCAAAAGCCAACATTGTTGCTGAATGCAACCAATTGGCTCTCAAATTTTGGAGTTGAATAGTCAATGCAATCACATTTCTGAAACATTCAAAATGTTTGAATATAATATGAGCCCAGCTAATATCAAATCGAATTATTCAAAGTAAATTTACAATTTCATATTTTGGCATAAGAATAAAAAACTTACATCACACAATAAAACATAAATTGGTTTACAACAAATATGGCACAATAAAACAGCGATGAGTTTACTGTGTAGAATAACGCAGAACTTGGAACCTATGATATTCGAAAGTGGGAACAGGTGGCATTGTGGAGCAAAAGCGAAGAGCTGAAGCTTAATTTGGGGGAAGCCAAATCAAACACCAAAAGATTTTCCTCCAACTGATGCGCACCAATAACAATTGAAGCTTTAAAAAATGACATGGTTGCTATTGTCCCTCCATCAACAAATGCAAGGCATGCTACATTTTTCTTCACCATTACCATGGAATTGGCTCCATGAATAGTCCATTGCACTCCCCCTTGTAGCACTAGATCAATAGTTGGCACAGAAAAACCAGTGATGGAACTTCCAATGCTTCTTGAATCAAAACATGCCTCAAATGGTGCCACTGATGCCACTCTCTTTAGTCTTCTGTCCGCAGCCTTCTTAAGAAAATCTCTAACAAAAGGCTTATAGACAAAACTTTGTAACTCAGCAAAACGAGTTATGGTGCTAATTTTGGTACCCCCATTGCCCTTCCTATCTATGGACAACAGAGAAGGCTTTAAGTTCACAACATGACCATCAATCTTAACTGACTTGACATCAATGAAGTATTCAGTAGAAGGAGCACCTTCCTCAAACAAAGGACCAGTGTCAAAGTGGTTGACAACAAGAGGAGTGGTTTGGACATATTTGGACACATCTTGAGGATGTCCCTCAGGTCCAATGAGTAAGTTAGTGAATCCTAGGTTGTTAGAAGAAGGTAAACAAAGAGAAAACTTGGGAGGGAGATTCTTCAACAATGCAAGCTGAGTTGGCATTGCAAGTTGTGACCTTGCAAGGCCTAACATCCCTTTGTTGCTTTTGGGTAACCCTCCAACAAGATTGCTAGAGAATTTGTGTGAGTTTGTGCATCCAGAAATAAAGTCAGACACTTGAATTTGAGAAATGAATATGACGTCTTCAGCCAAATCCCCTGGAGAAATGACTTGCTCTAACGGGTTGTAATTGTTATAACCACAAGTGTTATTTGTGCAACCTGGTTTGAAAGGGCCATTGCATGCACTACATGGATTAGTATTTTGGGGGCATGAATGTGAGTCACAACTGATTGGACTATAGGATGATGAGTTGTAGTTTATGGCACACTCATACCAGAGGTTTTCTCCTGTGAGATCAATGGCTACATCAAAGTTGTGTCGTGGAGTTCCTACGCCAAGTGAAGTGTAGAACACATTGGTTGCGGGGTCTTTCTTAATGGGAAGGATATAGGGGTGTGGTTTGGACTTTGTGTTTGGAGTGTGTGATATTGATAAGCAAGAAACTGAAAAAAGGGCAATTGAGAAAACAAAGAATTGAATGATGGTATAAGAAAAAGTCATTGTGGATAAAACTCACAGTGATAATGTGTGCAATCTCAAATGCAGAGTTCCCCTTTTATAGCAAGGTGCTATTGCATTGCATGTAACTGAATTCAACATATTTATGACTCTTTGACTAGATTCGTCAAAGAGGATGGCTCAATGGTGTAAATGCTCAACTTGTTGAATTGGGTCTCACCTAGCTTGGTCCTTAACACGGTCTGGTCATGTTGTTTCAAATTGGTGGATATCTATATTTCATATGAATGATGCAGTTAATGCTTTGGTTTGCCATTGTTGACATTCCGTACTCTGAAGCCCCCAACTTGTTAATGGAACATGCACTTGTGTAACTTAACGTAATGTAACCTTTCACCCAACTTAAATTGTGAATTAAATTTGTACAAATATACGAGAGAGAGAGAGAGATCAGTGTCTCATAATTAAGATAACTGTTGTGATAAGATAAAATCTAATGAAACTTTTTTACACATTATTTTGCTCAAAACTCATCAATGAAAACGTCAAATTTTATTCCTAATAAAAAATTCTTCCTCAATTCTAATACACAATACCAAATGTTTGAGAAAGGGAGACACCACTAAAAATAATTAGTAACTTTCTTAGGAGAACATTTTACATCTGTAATATGCTTAAATAGATAAAATTTTATTAATTAAATATTCTTTACATTTTACATTTTATCAATAATTTGTTAGATGTTTCAAAAATACTTATTTACATTTTATTTAAACTTAAAAATATTTGTTTAATGCAGGGGAGATTATTAAACTAAAATTTAAATAACTAAATATGACTACTAACTGGTCTTCTAATCAATTATTCAATCACTGGTTTAATTTATTGTTTAAGAAAAATAGAGTATTCTTTCTCCTCTCTTTTTTTCAGAGGACAGGGTACTGTTAAGTGTTATTCCATTTTGACAAAGAATACTGGATCTTTGACAAATCAGGAATAAAATGTGCATCTCAAGCATCGGGGAAAAAGAGAAAACAAACATAAATATCTGCACATTGTTATGAATATATAAAAATCCGGTTCAATTTGAGTTGCATGCTTGAGCCTTGGTGTTGGTGTATATATATATATATATATAT